TAAATGGCAACGGGAAATGATCCTTCTTTGTTGCCGCATTCAGTCGTCGGTAATCAATACACATCCGCCACCCAGTAGTGATCCGAGTAGGGACCAGTTCCTTTTTGTCATTTTCTATCACGGTGATGCCTTTCTTCGGCACCACATGGATCGGGCTGACCCACTCGCTACTAGCCACCGGGTAAATCAACCCTTCAGAGTAGAGTTTCAATATCTCTTTCTTTACAACCTCCATCATATTCGAATTCAGCCTTCGTTGGCTATCCCGAAATGGCTTGGCTCCTTCTTCTAAAATTATGCGGTGCATACACGTGGAAGGGCTGATGCCCTTGATATCGCCAAGACTCCAACCGATCGCTTTTCGATTTTTCTTTAACACCCCAACGAGCTCTTTTTTTTCTTCTGGATTAAGTTCGGCAAAAATTATCGCCGGTCGCCGCTTCTCGTCATCAAGGAACACATACTTGAGATGTGAGGGAAGTTCTTTCAACTCTAGTGGCGGTGGATCAATTTGTCGAGGTTCCTTGACCTCAAAGAGCTCAATGGTCAGTTCCTCTTTTTCAGTGAATTTTGGCATCAATCTTTCCTCCAAGTCTCGAATGGCTATCTCCTCGACTAATGGATTCATCTTATCAACAAAGGCACATTCCTCGATAAAGTTCACCGAGGATGCTGATGTGGCTTCCCGAACCGATATGGATACCGATTCACCCAAAACCGTCATGTTCAATGTCCCATTCTTTACGTCTATCAATGTGTGAGTGGTGGCCATGAAAGGTCTGCCGAGAAGGATAGTGTGATCCTTCTCATTCTCTTGTACGTCTCCGACATCCAAGACCACAAAATCTACTGGGACAATTAGTTTTCCGACACGAACAAGAACATCCTCCACTACCCCCTTGGGTTATCGAATTGAACAGTCTGCAAGTTGGAGGCAAATTCGGGTTGACCATAAATCGCCAAGGCCAAGTTTTTGAAAAATGGAGAATGGCATGAGGTTGATCCCTGCTCCGAGATCTAGCATCCCCGAAGCCTCTTTCCCATTCCCGAGGGCAATTTTGATTATAAAACCCTCAGGATCACATTCCTTTTTCGGCAAGTCATGATGCATAGCACTTGCCGCCTCATAAACGACCACCTTCTCACCATCTCCGAACTTCCTCTTTCTCGTCACCAAGTCTTTGAAAAATTTTACATAAGATGGCATATTTTTTATAACGTCTAGCAATGGAAGGTTGACGTTAACCTTCGAAAGCATGTTGTATAGGTCTCGGAATTGTTGCTCTTGCTTCTCGTCCTTCAATCGTCCTGGAAAAGGTATACGAGGTCTGTATGGATTCGAGGCTTTATGCAATAGTGAGTCCTCCGTAGTCTTCTTTGCATCGCCCTCTTTGTTTGTTAACATGACATCGTCCCTTGTTAATTGAGCTTGGTTTTCCTCTCCGAGTGGAATTGGCATTTCCACTTGGTTATCGACCACCTTTCCGCTTCGCAACACCGTTATTGCTTTAGCCTCCGTGGGTTGACTGGGAAGCTTCCCTTTGTCTGCCTCAGCCTCAATATTTCCAACTCGAGTGGCTAGTTGCCCCACTTGGGTTTCTATGCGTTTGATTGATGACTCCTGGTTGGTCATGAATTGGAGAACTTTGTCCCACCTATCGTCTTGGTAAGACGAACCTTGTCCTGTCTCCTGGTTTTGCATCCCGGTAATTGGTCCCCTTTGTTGTTGTTGAAACTGCTGTTGTGGGTAATTCGGCCTCATTTGCTGTTGAGGAACATAATTGGGCCGAGGTTGTTGTTGAGCGAAGTTTTGTCGGGGCTGTTGAACGTTGTTGTTGTTAGCCCAAGAGAAATTAGGATGGTTTCGCCACCCTGGGTTGTATGTGTTGGAGAATGGATCGTTGACCGGTCGGTTCTGGTATCCCTGCAAAGCGTTGGCGTCTGCCGGTTGATCGCCAAAGTCTTGATCGAAGGCCGAAAGGCACATCTCCGATCCATGCCCTTTAACTCCACACACCCTGCAAACATTAACAGCCATGGATTGCATTGGCTGAACTCCTCTTGAGGTGAGTAACCTCATTTGCTCCGTTAGTTCGGTGATTTGCCGAACAATAGCATCTTGTCCAGGCGAGACCTCGTTTACAGCCATTCTTTTCCCCCGAAATCTCTTTTGAGATGAGTTGGTACTCATCGTCTCAAAAATCTCCATCATTTCCTCCACCGTGCGAGCACCGATATCTCCCCCGGCAGCATTGTCCACCATGTATTGTAGGTTTCTATCGAGAAAATCGTAAAAACTGCTCACCAATAGGCCGGATGGAAGATTATGATGTGGGCACTGTCTTTGAAGGTCTTTGAATCGCTCCCACGCTTCATGGAATGGCTCATTGGGATGTTGGGCAAATGAGACGATTTGGCCTCTCAACTC